CAGGTTAAATACCATTTTGCAATGTTTCCTTGATTGTATGTTTTTGTTACTCTTCAGAAAAAAACAGACATTTTATGACAAAGTAAACACTTCTGTGACAATATTTGTTTTGCTTTTTTTTTTCCTTGTTTTTTTAACTTACTACTTTAAAGATATTCTTCCCCCCCTTTTTTAGTTCCTGTTTCTGGTTCTCATATGGCTGCCTCTGCTTGTCAGCGTTCTTTGAGCAGTTTCCTACCAACTGGAAAACAGAGGGATACAAGGAAAATTGATCTACATCTAAAGCCAAAGGCTTTGCACACAGTCTCAAAAGAGCGACCACACTCTTTAGTGGACCTTAAGGCCTACAAAGACACAAAAATTTTAGTGGCAAAATTTTTGGAACATTCAAACTGTAACCTTCCTCCAGAAGTACGTCATGTAGTGAACAATATACGATCAGTAATAAAATCTGATGAGAGACACATGGAAGAAGCCATCTTCAGTGCCAATATTATAGAGCAGGTAGGCCACTTAAATTCTAAAGATTTGTTCAGCTGTGATAGATACATACCTTATTTAAATGTTTTTACAGTTTTAAGTACTTAGACAATTCCTGCAAAAGTTCTTTTATAGTAACATGGCTTCAGTAAGAAATAATTACTATATATTGGGCAGCAATGCATTTTACACTGAAGCACTCAGAAATGCATTTCAAATTCTTCAGCTGGATACGGTAATAATCTAGGAAATCTATATGGAATTGATAATCATCCTCTCTTACTTATTTCCAATGTTCCATACACAAATTTGTGTTTATAGAAGGAGATACACAGAACTGACTTGGAGCTGCTGTGTTTTCAGGCAAATGTATTTGTACAGAATAAGCTACTCGCTGAAAGGAACAGGTAGATATCCAGGCAGGGCCACGATCTATCAAAACGGAACAGAGCAGTTACCCTTACTGCTGGCTAGCAGAATGATAAAGACCCTTGCTGTTTTTAAGAAAAAGAATTGAGAAATGGTGCTTTTCCAAAGGAAGGAATAATGCGTCTTTCTCACCTTGAGTGAGAATAAAACAGACGCAAGGCTTGGAAGGAATCCTATAAAACAAGGGAATTAGTAGCAGCAACAACTTTTATTATCGAATGTTTAATAATACATCTTTTTTGCAGGAAGAAAGGTGATGAATCACCTCTTGCTAGTATTGCTACCAGAATGACAGCTATGGAAATGAAGTTCCCTTTATGCTGTCAGATTGGAAATGCAGAATGCATTTAGCACTGAGTAACCACGTTCAGGTTGCCTGTGGGGTCTCCACAGAGTTGGGCAGAGGGTTAAGGATACGTGCCGGGGGGCTTTTTCCCCCCCTTCTGAGATACTGCCGTTCCTATGGTATTAGTCTGCTGATCCCTAAGTGAGGGCAACCCGCTAAGTATTAAAATAGGATGTAATAACACTTAAACAGCATGTGAGAGAGTGTGATGTGTAGCAGGAAATGTACACATTTAATAAAGCTTGCTGCAAGATTAATTTTTCTAACTATGAAGGAAAGCAAAGAAGTAGCACCGTTATCAGTTACCTCTGTAGTCACAGGGGTAAAAAAGCAGTACTATCATGACATACTTAACTGCCTATCAGTATGAACTTACATTTTAACATTGTTATTGCTTTACAAAATTTCTGGATCATGAAATCCTCAAGGTTAGAAAGTTGAAAACAATTTTCTTTAAATGAAAAAAACATCGTTTCTCACAATACAAAAGAGTTATTAAAAAAATGTGTTTATGTATATCATAAAACCAAAAACCAATGGTGCAATTTTTATCCTGTGTGCATTTCTTAGATTTAGGGAGACATGCGGGTTTTTCACATTAAAGAAATAATTTTAGTAGTTATTATTAATTAGTGAAAGTCCAGGGCATCTCAGCAATCTACTTAAGTCACAGAATTTTTGGTAAAATAGTTGTATAATTCAGATTTGTGAAATAGCTTGACAGTTCTATTAACACCAATATGTTTGTCTACCAGGCTTGCACAGTTTTAGTTCTCTTCCACCCTCAGCAAAGCTAGTGAAGCATCTCTTTCTCCTAAAAGAAACAGATGAGTTTAATTTGCTCCAAACTTATACTTGTGAATTATAAGGCAGAGCTGTCACCTTTTCCGCAGGTTTCCTTTTCATTTGTATAGAGAGAAACAAAAACTTGTTTGTGCCTTGGTTGATGCAATGCTAGAGTGCACATACCTCTCAAGCCTAACTGTGCCTTCTTCCAGCAGACAACTCAGCCCCGAGCAGTTGTAAGGACAGGAGAAGCGGGAGGGTCTCTGGATGGCTGCATAAACACACATCTCCTCTGGGAGGGGTCCATCATTTGATAACTTAAATGATATTCTAGGACTGAACCTGAACCTTTTAAATGGAAACATTTCTTACCCTGTTTTCCCTATTTTTCTTTTCCATCCCTGCCCTTTTAAACAGGTAATTACAAGTTCCCAGCAGAATGTGAATACCTCTAGAAAGCGACTTCAAGAAGATCTCCATCTTCAGAGCTGCGGTGCTCTGAGCTCTCCAGTTGCCTTCTTACGTAGGTCCCATCTCACTCGCAGTTTAGAGCGGGACAGGCCTCACAGTTTAATTGGAGTTTGCCGGGAGACCATCCTTTGATAATATTCACAGGTATGTGATTCCAGCAGAGAGAATTCAGGAAGAAACCAGGACTGGGAGAAACACAAGTAGTGGGTGACTTAAAAAGGAAAAAGTGTCTTCCTTTGGAATTCCACTTTTTTCCAATAGCAGGAGGAGAACACCTGTTTTTCTGAATGTAAATTTCAGCCCTGATTTTTGCAAAATTTTAACTGATTTATTAGTAAAGTCATAACAAATGTTTTCCCAGCCAGAAATGCATTTATTTCACTGTATTTATAGAAATGCTACTGATGCTGCCTAGCATTTCTTGAAAACCATTGCAAAACTGCCAGAGACTGGCTGTACAACTTCAGAGTTGTATTTATTTAATGTACCTCAAAGTGTTTTAACTATGATCAGTGTTTTAATAAAAAATATTTCTGGACTTTGCTTTTTCAGCAACTGATTGGGATAGAAATGTAAAGGTGATTCATATGCACATACAGTGCTGCTTCTAATCCATTTTTTGTGTCTTTCATGCCAGGCTAACTCATCTGTGCTATTAAAACTGCTCCCTGTCCCGTTCCTCCCCCCCTCCCCATGTATTGCCCTTTTAAATTTGGGGTTTATTTTTGCTTTGTTCTGAATGCTGCTGAGTTTATTAATGGAGTAGCGTACGCTATTGAAAACTGACGCTTAAGTACTCTGAGAATTGTGACCAAAAGTTGCATTAGGGAAGAAATCTTTGAAATTCTGCATTTCCAAAAAGCAGATTTCACAAGCTTTTTACAAACACCAAGTGATAGGAAGTTAGATGGATTTTTATCTAGCAGAGCCTTGAACACTTTTTCAAAAAGAATCGTTACTCCAACTAGTAGTTTTGACAATTGTATTACTAAAACATGTAGTTCTGCTGCTTTTATGATTTATATAACATTGATCTTAAAAAGCAAAATAAATGGAAAAGTAAATATCATTGACACTAATTTGATTACCAGCATAAACACAGGTCTGCCAGCAACGTCTTCCAGTGCAAGCTTCATCCTGGTTCTCTCAGAGGAAATTGGAAAGGCCTTAAACCAAAGGTTCTCATAAAGAACCTACCACAGGTTGACGTTTCAGGGGTTTAATTTTTTTGCAGCAGTGCTTGTCAGTAGCGTTAGTTTCCATTTGAGGTTTAATCATATACTGCTTTCATTTGTGTCACTCTGAGCTGGGCAGACATCCTGTGAAAAGGTCACAAAGGAATGTAGCTGAAGACAGGTAGTTTAAGTTTTACAGAATCGTCTATTCTAATGTTATAGTAATTATAGCATGCCTCTGTATTGATGTGAAGTCACAGTGACATCCAGTGGTGGCCACAAGGTATGCTAATTGAAAGCATCTACTCCTCAGATAATAGTGATACACCAATTCCTAACTCAAGAGATTAATTTCTTTTTTAAAAAACCCAACCATCTGTGACCATTGCAACTGCACTTAGATGAAGAATTAAATAGTCTTCTACTTGGATTTTTTTATTACGTAAACTTACACAACAAACAAAATAAGCAAGCTTCCTTTATTATTTCAGATTTATTAGTGATAGTAGGTTAATTCTTTCCTAAGGTCAGTTGCATGCAACACACTACTCCTTGAAGTACAGTCATCTAAAGCTCTTTAGTTACTGCATGGTAAGGCTTCTTAAGTCACAGTGTATTTTCTTCAAGGTCTTGGCCAAAAAAAAAAAAAAATATAGACAAAAAATTACACCAATTAACATTTATCTCATAAGGAATACAACTTTACTACTAGGTTTTTTTATCTACACACATTCTAATACGGCTGATGGTGCTAGGTTATTTGTCAAAACAATTTACATTCAGAACACATTGCCTTAGGAATAAGAATGCTTTATAAAAGACAGAAACAGGTAAGCATGGCTTTCCCATTCTGAGCTAATATAAACAAAAAGGTAATATGCAAAAATCAAAGAAAAAAAAAACCAGCCCAACACATACACTACACAACCTGTGCAATAAGTTATCCATGAAATAACTGTTAAATCATAAAAAATCACAAGCATTAAAAATAAATATGTATCTAAATAAATATTTTGATTTTTATCTTGTGGCAATTATTCTTTATTTAGCATATGAAACACTTGTTACATGTTTATGTTAACACCTTGCCAAACAGGTTACACTTGTCATAACAATACCAAGTACTACAGTGGTTTTCTGTACATTAGAATCTAAAAGTTTTAACTGCACACGTTCCTTTCCACTGAAATACCATCTATTCGGCACCAGTTTTGAAATTAAGCAAAGCCATCATCAGTATTGGACCACTTTATGGGACTGGGATTTTTTTTTTTTCAACTTGAGGCAGCCATAACTTTCTCTAATTGCTTCTCTTTGCCATTTCCTGCAGTCTCATTCATCAAATATTCACATTCACCGTGTTATCAAACAAGACAGACATACATACATCACTCCACATAAAGGTTACAAATAAATATGTTTTAAGTTCTATGAGAAAAGAGTTTAGAAGATGTTGCAAAATACTGAAATGTTTTACAAAGATTTGTGTCAGTGATTATTGTCCTTGACCATCCTTCTCGTCACTTTTTGGCAAAGAAATAAAAAGGAAGGAGAAAAAAGGCAGAGACACCTGTCTGTTCCTTGTTTCGGAGTCCTCAGGTCAGCTTCAAAGCCTTTCATTCATACAAAATACAAAATTCTCTTCAGCTATGAGGGCTTCAGCTTTGATGGAATCATTGAGTTATTTTATTGCAAGAGAATCGCATGCTAGATGTATAGGGGTGTCTCTTGTCCGGTTAGGAGCCTGAACATGGCAGCTGGCATAGTCTTCATGTGAATCTGTCAATTGATTTACACAGAAAGTGACACAATTGTTACTAGTTGAAAATAATGCCTAAGGCCGGATCTGTCTCTCCCTGTGGTGGTTAGTCTATTTATTGTCCTGGTTTCTATGGATGTGAACGTCACCAAAGTTCTCTGGTTCTAACAAGCAGGTTTGTTGTCTTTGCTTTTCTTGTGTGGGTTTGTTGCTGCTCGGTTTTGATTTTTGTTTTTGGGGTTTTGTTTTTTTTTTTAATGAAGACAGGATGCAACATTATATAGCTAAAAAGATACCTAAACACTTTCTAGTGTTATACCCTAGTCCAATTAGAGTCCTTAGAAGCAGCACAAACATCTCTGAAAATTCATTCTGCTGTTCTGGTATTAACTGAACTTAGATTTTTCTTCTGTCTTCCTCCCTGTGGGACTGTCCTTTTGTACATATTTTCTCCTAACTGGAGTATGATCCTCTGAATGCAAATCTTAGACTGTATCACCTGATAGTTAAATGCCAGTCAAGAGTTTGGTGGAGCAGGTTCTCTCATGGCTAGTTATTTAAGTTCTCTCTACAAGGAGTACTGTGATAACTGTCAGAGGAATTTTACAGACTAACAGGATTAACGGCAGCAGGTAACCAGAGCTGTATCAGAACTGTAGTAACAGCTGTAAGGACCTATCAGACAACACAAGAGGAAGGAAGGTAAACTTTACTAAGTGATAATACAGACCGACACCAGCTATCCGCTGCCTTGATATGTTGGTGTCTTTGTGCTGAAAAAAAAGTGTTTCAGACTGTCCTCGTATGTTTAGTGAGATGTATGCAGCAAAGACATACCATAAACGCATGGAGGATCTACTGAAATCTACAGCTTTATTCCTGCCAACGTGCACGTACTCTTACTTTCCAAGTATCATTTCCCACAGGGAAACAAGTTCTCTTTGATTTTTAGCAAAGGACCTAGTGGAAGATCTGGCCAGGGTTGTGCATGATCCTACCACTAACGTCAGTAGGGATTTTGATAAACTGGAGGATCTGGTTCATGCGTTGCTGATTTCTCTAAAAGTACTGGAGAGAGATGTCGTAACTTATTCCCAAGGTAAGTTGGAAATGTTCAGTGGAAATGAAATTATTAAAATACGTACCAATTTGAATCTCTCAGCTCTTCAAATATTAATTTATTTCCATGGCAGATGCCAAGAAACATTTTCATAGCTAAAATGCTTGTGTGATTTCTTCCCTTAATTGATCAGTTTAATTCAACCAGTAGGTTGAAGGCGCCGAATCATGCTAGGAACTCTTGAAAATGAGTGAGAAAATGCAGTGAATGGGCATCTAACTGTTCCAAAAAATGTTCTGTTGTTTGTTTGTTATTAATGCTCAACTCCAATTTACTGAGGTTGGTGGTTTTGATACCACATTAAGACGCTCTTTTTCAACTGAAAAATACACTCTTCCAACAGTTTTAATTCCTTGATGAAGTATTTAACTGTTTTCTTACCTCTCCCACTGAATTAGACAATGCTTGTACTATCTTCTCATGAGCAGTAGCAACAACGCTTTGTCCGTTGATCTCAATAATACGATGTCCTACTCTTACCCCTCCCCTCTCAGCTATTCCACCTCGCATCAAGCTGCAAATCTGTCAAAAGAAAGCAAAGTTTATTAAAGTTTAGAAATGTTATAACGTAGCAGTTACTAGGATTAAATAACGAGTGGAGACACTGTAAGCATTCCAGAAGATACTTGTGGAAAGTATTAAGCAATACTGTGAGGTTTTAAATGTTGGTTTGGGTTTGGTTGGTTGGGGGTTTTTTCGTTTGTGGTGGTTTTTGTTTGTAATTTGCAGAAATTTTGATAAAAACAAACAATTTTTCTTTTCATTCTCATGGGCTGGGAACATATAAATACCTAACACAGTGATACAGGTAGCACCCATGCAAGAGAGTGGAGTTAGTGGGAAGAGAGAAGTTTTATGTACTGTTGGGATAGGAGAAGAAAGTGATTTTTAAATATTTCTGACTGTGCCATCTGGACTCTTTCTGCAAACTACCACATTATTCTTTCTGAATAATGGGGAAATATAAAAAGTGCTAAAGTAAAAATTAATCTACAACAGCAGTTTTTTTCACATGGAAAAAACCCTGACATCAAGCTGAATCCTTAACCCTGCACAAATGCCAGTTCAGGCTGCAGGAAAGGATGATGCCATACAGACACTCTATATTGAAAGCTGGCGATCTGTAAAAAGGGTCACAAAGACATAAGGAAAGATCTATCATCTGAATGACATAAGGAAGAAAATTTTTATGATCTGGGTGGTGAGGCCCTGGCACAGGCTGCCCAGAGAAGCTGTGGATGCCCCATCCCTGGAAGTGTTTAAGGCCAGGTTAGATGGGGCTTTGGGCAACGTGGTCTAGTGCAAGGTGTCCCTGCCCGCAGCAGGGGAGTTGGAACTGGATGATCTTTAAGGTCCCTTCCAACCCAAACCATTCTGAGTCTATGAAATGTG